CCTGCCCCGTGCGCTCGACCTGGCGCAAGGCCGCAAAGTGGCAACGGGTTCCTTTGGAGTAGGCGTGCTGGTGCCCTGAAATCTTGCTGCTGCGGCGGCCGCTGCTGGTCCTCTGGGCCGTTGTCGATCAGCAGGTTGCCCCGCATATCGCTGCAGCTTGCTGCCCCCAGGGTTGGGATCATCTGGGCTCTTCCGCTTCTTTTTATTGAGCTTGAAATGATCAGGACCAAGAGATGGGCTTGATGCATCAGAAGATGAAGGAAGACCGATCGTCTCTGTCTTCGGCTTGGGAATTGGCCCTGCCGCGGCTCCTGCCAGCATCCCAAGTGCACGTTGCACGGGGCCTCGGTCAGGATACAGATCGACACCGCCTGGCCTCCAGAAGGCCATGTTCTTCATTGGGGCCTTGTGTTTATGTGCAACTAAATACTTATCGGCGTTTCGTCTTTCGACTATGCGTGTCTTTATCCGGCCAATGCTGTCAGCACGGTAAACAATCTGCCGCCCAGGAAATATACCCATACCCCTTGTGACGATGTACTCGGGGTCAATCGGAGCATCCGCCTCGCGCGTAATGTCCGCGATACCCGACTCGCTTGACTCGCCGCCTCCAGGGGCAGCGTCCGTAGGGTCAACTTCTCCAGCCATTTCACCATCTCCATCTTCACCAGCTTCTCGTTGGCTTTCTACTTCTGATTGGTGATCAGCGGGTGTCCCCGCGAGCCACTCGCGATTGAGCTGCACCAAATAATGAGAGGGTATTATGTTCAGCCAGACGAAGCTTGAACGAGCTATTTCTTCAGCGGTGGCGGGGTCATAGGCCTTTTCCGTCAGCTGCTCAAGATCTGGCGTAGTGTTGGGATCAGCGCAGCGACCCCGACCATCTCAATGAGACATAACCCACGGCGTTCTTTTGAAATTCGGGCTTCTTGATGAGCGTCTCACGGGGCAGCCGGGCCTGTGATCAGCGTAACTGGGGCATGTGCAGCAAACGCCTCTGTAGAGCTTTGGATCCTCGATGATGGCCCTTTTGAGATCGCACTTGGCAATCTTCTCTTGCGAGTTGGTAGGTCCCGCCATTGAACGCGTGAGATTGCCTGCGCCATCTCGTTTGACCTGGCGAAGAGAATACCAGTGCCGGATGTGGTGCACATTCCAAACACTTTCCAACCTGTATTCCGTCTGTCTTGCGGGAATGTACTGACAAGCCAATTCAGCTCCAGCGTGGCCTTTCAAAAACTGCGCGTCACCTTTTGGACATTCTCCTCCGCGACTGGTCATCTCGAGGCGGGTCTCCTCGCAGATTATCCCTCCTTGGGGGGGCATGCGCTCTAGTCGCCTGCCATGGCTGGCCCCTTGTGGCCCCCGCATCAGGAGGACGAGGGCGCTGCCTATCGCTCGAACGAGCGCCGCTAGAGCCAACTCGCGCACGATCTGGTGTGTGACTGGGAGCCCGGCCGCGACGCATCACGCGGCCATCGTCTTCCCGCTCGTCCTCCTCGCCCACTGGGGAGCGACTTGGATCGTCATGATAGCTCCTCCTTATCAAGGGTAGGCGGCTCGGCGATCGCCTCGGGCTGCTGGCCGGCTTATCTGACGCAACAGAAGTGCACTGAAATTCTTCTTTCTGCCCAAACTCACATTGAATGCGCCCAGATGGATCATCGGCGTCGCGCGGGCTTCCCCGCAATGGATCATCATCGAATAATTCTGCGTTTGTCGGTTTTCCAATCACCCGAGGATTAAGCATCGCATGTGTTTCCTCATCTGTCGCAGGCGTGGTAGAATCTGAGTCCGCGGGCGCCCCCCGCCATGCCAAAATCGCCATCGACGGGCGCGTGGAAGTTCTCGACGAACTCAATATCAGCAGGTTGCCCCGCGACGGGTACACCCAGCCATTCTGCCAAGTCGATATCGCTGTGGCCTGTGAACACTTCCTCGAACAGCTCGTCGGCGTAATTCTCGAGGGTCATGCTGGCACTTAGATACCTTGCAACCATGAAATGAACAATTGTGGCTGAGCCGTCGGCAGGGTCAGCTAAAAGAGACCCCCAGTCATCATGTTGTATGTCGGAGTCCGTCTGAGCCATCACCTTGGGGGCATTCGCGGCGATAATGTTGTGCGCTGGGACACATGTCGCACTCCATGGTTTTACCGGTGGTATCCTTTGGTTTACCTCGTCGTCCATTACCTTTGCCTGATGTATGCCTGCGGTTTCTGCCAGCGTCTGACACATTTCCTCATACTGAGGTCCAGTAAGAGACGCTAGGGCTGCTGGTATGCCTCTACCATGTAATCGCCGACGCTCACCTTTGCCTATACTTCGACCGTTGCCTCTTCCTTTAAGTGAACGTCGTGCAATACGTATTACCCTTCGGACTGGATTCTTCATGAAGCTCCGCCAACGACGCTCGTGTTTTGACAGCCCCGAAATAACCATTGAGCTTGCTGCTCTTCAGCAGTAGGGCATGTAGGCGCATCAGAGCAATCCAAGGCGGTAGCTTCATCATCGGAAGACGGATCCGCATCGGTACCGGAGTCGAAGTCGAACTCGGCGGGTCATGCCTTGCATAAGGAAAGCCGCGTCGGGCGGCCACCCGGATCTGGCCCAGGGGCCTTGCGACCCCGAAGCCGCTCCACCATTCTGAGCCAACAGTGTAGTGGTCTCAGTTCGCTGTGGATCATTGTTCCAGACGTTGTTGGCATGTTGTCCTGCGTTAGCCTCTGCGTGGAAGGTCTCGGTGCGGTGACCGCGGCTAAAGATACCACCAATGTCGCCAGGGGTCATCTCAGCTATGTGAGCAGATGACCTCATGCCTTCAAGTAGAGCGTCAAATTGCGGTTGTTCCCTCGGCATGCGGTGGTTCAGAGGCCGCAGGAGTTGTTGTGCACGCGATGTCCCCACACCAAGAGCTCTGAATAGAGTTACTGTAAAGATTTGGAAGGTGGGGATATTGAAGCCGGCGGCTTCAGTTTCGTAGCGGGCGATTTCTAACCGTGCTAACGTCTGGTCGATACGTTCACCCGCGCGGACTCGAAGGTCAACGAGAGCCGTGCCAATGTTAAGTTGGCGTTGCTCCTCTTGGTTCTCGAACTTCGTACTTAAGAGGAACATAATGTAGATGACGCCGTCGGTGTGGCAACCGCCTATATTGACGCCAAAATTAATAACTGCTGGAGGATTTTTCATGGCTATAGTCAGTGCGAGACCTCCCAATCCTCGCTGCAATTCGGCGGCTTGCTGGGAGGGCGTCATGTTGCCTGTGGTCACATTGATCCAGGCATGTCCTTCGCGGACGAACTCGCGAAATGGTGCTTGACCGGCAGGGTCCCAATGGGGGCCAGTCTGTAGTGTTGTCAACGCCCCGCATATGTCCTACCGCACACCCAATAGCGACCCGTATGAGCCCAAAAATGCTAACCCCAATCCAGTGGCCTCGTAGGTCGTAGTCGGATGTAGTCGGTGGGGACTTATGTTTTGTCGTCGTAAGTCTGCGTGGGGTCGGAAGCGGCAGTATGTCGTATCGCATGTTTCCATGCATTATGTCTTCGAAGAAGTTTCCAAGTGGAGAAAATGGGTGGACTTCAGGAGTGTAGTCGCGCCGGGATGTAAGATGTGAGTGAGAGACCTCCGATTGGACAGAGGTATCGCTGCAAGTTGCCTTGCGGTACTGCGTAACTGTATACACTCCTCCGCACAATCCAACTGCACCCTGATGTTCCACCGTATCTGTAGTCCACCAGATAGTGCCGTGGATGGCGAGGAGTAGAGCTAAAGCTGACCACAATAGGCCAGCTCCGCTACCAAGTTTGAAGGGGGCTGGAAGGCCAAGCCAACAGCTTCGCCTCAGGCGAAGCCGAGCTCGAACTCTGTTGTACCGTAGTAACGATAGTCCCATTGTGAAAAAAAACGATGCCATCTCAGGCAATAGGAATATCCGTTTGGTCTCGATAGCGATTGTGTGGCTCGCAGTGAGGCACCGTCAAATTTGGGCGGCCGGCCGCTTGAGCCGACGCGGCCGTGGGCGCACGCTCGCTTCCACTCCTTACGTCCCTCAGCTCGCTTTAAAGTCCCCCCCCGTGTTTGGCAATTTTCCCTTGGGTGTTTGCGTGTTTGTCGGGTTTTTCCTTCCGGTTTTTGGGCGTTTCCCTAAGGTGTTTGCATGTGTTTCGGGTTCCCCCCCCCATTTTTGGCAATTGTCTCTCGGACTTTTGCATGTTTTTCTAGTTTTTCCCGCAAGACGGCCCAAGAGCGCCCCGAGAGAGCCCAAGACCGCCCAAGACGGCCCAACAGGCCCCGAGAGGCCCCCAAGAGGCGCCCTCTGGCATTCTGCTCAGGGCGGGCCCCGCCCAGCAATGCCTGGTCACGAACCGGTTCGGACCCTCCACCTCGCCGACCCCACCACCTCCTCGGCGCCCCCGCCTCTGGCTCTCGGTTCTGGGAGCCATCCACCCGACAACTCCTGGGCCGGAACCGACCCTGACCCTCCACCCTTTATAAGGACATACAAACAAATACACACAAATAGCGAGATTCCCCGTAGTTTCCCATATGTTCTGGGTGTCTTCCCCCCACTTCCAATATTTTCGAATATTTCCCTTGGGGTCGACCGTTGATTGTGTCTGTGTGTGTGTTCCCCCTCCTGAAGCTTGCCCCCCGCCCCACCTCGGCACCCCCACCTCTGGCTCTCTTTTTCGGGGGCCATCCACCCGAACAACTCCCGGCTGGGAACCGACCCGGACCCCGCCACCTCGCCACCCCACCTCGCCTCGGCAACCCTACATCTATCTAGCAAACTCTCTGGCCTGGGGGCTATCCACCCGGCAATTCCTGCCCCGGAACCGACCCTGAACCCCCCACCCCGCTCCCCCACCTCGCCTCGGCACCCCCACCTCTGGCTCTGTCCTGGTGGCCATCCCCCCGACAATTCCTGGCCCGGAACCGGCCGTGACCCCCCCACCTCGCCGACCCCACCACCTCCTCGGCACCCCCATTGTTTTCTGCGGATGCTGTGGGGCAATCTTGGGGTGGTCTGAAGACGCACCCAGCGCTATACTGAAGGAGCAGCACATGGCAACACGGCGCTGGAAAACCTGCCGAAACGCAGCAACAATCTGCGGACAAAAGCAACACTTTGCTGTTCTATATATATATATATATATATATATATATATATATATAGAATGCGAGAAGCTGCGGGAGGCCACGAACACTGCCAGAGCCTGGGGGACGCGGTCGGCTCGCATCAGGCCTCGTAGTCAGCGGCCGCCCTCCCCCGACCCTGCCCTTCATGCACAAATATGTCTCATCTCTTTGCGCTATTATTCAGGTCACTGGTTCTCCTTCTGAGTACCGACGCGCCGCCATCATCCACCGCTTCCGTCGTTGACTCGCTGATCGGGGGCAATCTTCCCGAGACCCTCTTCGGCACGCTCTGCCAAGGCATGCGAAGTTTCGATACCCCAGTCAGCTTCATGAGCACCATCGGATTGAATTCATCGGAATCCTTGTCTGAATCGCGTGGATCGATCATGGGGCCATCGACCCTCAGCTCTGCACCCTCCGCCTGCAGAAACGTAGTTCCGCTCCTGGAGAATCGCACCGCACCGAGGCTGACGCCAGCCGCCACCTCCTCGCCACCTCCGTACGCTGCCTGATTCACAATCTCCTGGATACTCCTATCGGGGACACGGAAGACTCGGGCTCGAGGGACAGGGCCATCATGAAAATGACGAGACCCAGTCTGCAATCTGGCGCGAGCTCCCGCAAGCGTCCCACGAAAACTGGACCGTCAAAAACCAGGACGTGCTCGTCCAAAAGCGTGGGCAAACCCGAGTGTCGGCGTGCTCGAGCCTTCTGTTTCCCCGATCCTATGGATCTCGTCCAGGGCTTCCATTGGAATCCAATCGTGCAAGTGGGGCGTCCAATGTCCGTCCCCAAAGCGCAGCAGCATGTCCTGATGGGCATCTTTCCCACCACCACCATAAGTTGGAGGGGGGAGGAGGTGAACGACGAGGAGGAGGACGAAAAACGAACGAACGAACGACAACCAATGCGGACAACAGTCCGGGACTCCCGGAGACCAGGTGGATGAAGCCGTGGCCTCTGAAATACTATTATGTATGGTGAGGCGTGCACGCGAGACATGTCAAAGTTATGTGAAACGGAGGGAAGGGGAGGACGGGGAGGAATCCTTGAGGTCGATGTCGTGGTGTGTTGGTGCCACGTCGCTGGGTAGAGTCTGCGTTGGTCGTCTGTGCTGGGTTCAGTGTTGGTGTTGGCGCAAGGCGCCGGTAGTCGGTGTTGTAGTGCTTGGTTGTTGGCGGTCGGTGCTTGTGGTCGCGTGGTCGGCCGTCAGTGCTGCATGGCTAGAATCATGCAGCGACGAAGGCTCTCTCGAGTGAGTTCCACCATGCCGTCCGTGTCGCAGCTGTGAGCCACCTTACATCGTTGGTGTCGCGGTGAAGGTGTCGTCGTGGTTGGGTGGCGTCGTCGTTGGCGTCGCGTTGTGTGTCATCGTCATCTGTCTGTCGATGCGCATTGTGTAGGAACTTCTGCAAATCGTCATCCCATCGCTTGTGCTGGCCACCGTGCTATCGGTAACCCTGTTGTTTTGTGTCCCTATTGGGATTCCATGTCAAAGCTCGCTGTGTCCACCTGTTTGGTGGGTGGATCGCTACGCGTGCTGCCCACTGCCAAACCCTTTTGCGATGCATTTGGGTGACGTCTGGGATGTCGTGCGTGCTCATGAGTTCCTCCGCTCTGCGGGTGCACCGGCGGATGTAGTCAGCGCAGAGTTCGGCATCGTCTGCCGCCTGCTGGCGTGTCTGAGACGTGTGGGGTGGGTCGATGCTGCCGTCAATTGTTTGGGGTGGGTCTGATAGTCGGCGGGTCGCTGAAAGCGTCGTGGTCGCTGGAGTCGTTGGAAGCGTTACCGTCGAGATCGTCGTTGTCAGAGTTACCCGTCGCTGGGACAGCATGCGTTGACGAAGCTGCTGACGTGTGTCGCCGCGGTGTCCCGATAATCGCTCTGACCATCCGTCGTTGCGTGCGGCGCAACTGCTGTTTGAAGGATTATGTGATTGTCCATAACTCTGCGCCGTACATCGTTGTAGGACGAAGAGGAGGAGGAGGAGGAGGAGGAGGAGGAGGAGGAGGAGATGGAGGAGGAGGAGGACCCCCTCTCCCTCCAACTTATGGTGGTGGTGGTGGAAAACAAGCCCATCATGTCCTCGACGCGCAGGCCGCTGCTCGTCGAGTCCAGCCGCAGGCAGACGGACGAGAAGAAGCCCGCGTCCGGCGCGCAGCTCCCGGACAAGGACGACGACGCAGAGCTCCACGACCTCTGTCCGGCTCTGAGATCCGACGCTGCGGGCAAACATTTAACCTCGCGAAAATCGGGTGTTGCTAGAAGTGCCCCTGGCCCAAGGTGCCCCCAGCTTTTCGTTTCATTTTGGAGCCCCTGGGGCCCTCTGGGCCTCGTGAAGGGTGCTCTGGAGGCCGTCTGGGCCACCCCGAGAAACATCGCGGCCAAAACCACAAACCAAATCTTTCTACTGCACCCTCGCCGGAACGATCTTCTGGATGGCCCTGGGGCCCGGAAACGGGCGACAAAGCCCGGTGTGAATTGCCCGCCTCGTACCCAGCCCCTTCTACACGCGAGGCGACTACTTGCATAAACGCTGTATACACAAGGATACATTACATCTGAAGTGCCTCACCTTCGCTGCGCCGCCCCACGAAAGCGGTGACAGTTGGGCAGTTCGAAGCCCCCGAGGGAACGGCGAGGTCTCAAAGGGATCTGCGCTGCCCTCACGCCCGCCGTGCCTCCCAGGCGCCCACAAATCGAGCCGCGCGTGCAGGGCCTCGACCCCGCCTGCTGCCGCCGTCGGTGGGAGCGGCGCGGCGCGAGGCTGCCCCCCGCGGGCGGCTGCGACGGGCCCAGGCCCGACGCGCCGCCGCTTGGGCGGCCTCGCGCCACGCCTGCGCGCAGCAGACAGGGCGGAGGGTGGGAGAAAGAACGCGCGCCAGGGAGGCACCCGCCGCGCGCGCGCGCGGGGCGCGCGCGCGGCGCCTCCTCCAAATGCAAATCGCCTGCGAAGCGCACGCGCCGCGGGGGCAGCGACCCCCCCCCCGCGGCGACGCAACCCCGGCGCTAGCAAATCACCTGCGAAGCGCACGCGCCGCGGGGCAGCGACCCCCCCCCCCCGCGACGCGCAACCCTGGCGCGCGACGGCGCGATGGCCCGCGCCTGCGCAGCGAGGCCGCGGTCGCGTCGCACTGCCGCGCGCGCGACCTACGCGCAACCGTGGCCGATTTGTGCCCGCCCACAACGGTGAACGTCCGCGTCTGCGAGCGGACTTGCCGCCGTGGGCCTACCACAAATCGAGCCGCGCGCGCAGGGCCTCGACCCCGCCTGCTGCCGCCGTCGGTGGGAGCGGCGCGGCGCGAGGCTGCCCCCCGCGGGCGGCTGCGACGGGCCCAGGCCCGACGCACCGCCGCTTGGGCGGCCTCGCGCCACGCCTGCGTGCAGACCCAATGCCACACGGCACGCAGGCGACACGGGCCGGCAACGCGCGCCCACCCGCTGCCGAACGCGCGGGGGCAGAGCACGGGCGCCGTCGCGCGCGCCCGCCCACGCACAGAAGCGAAACGTGGCGGCGCTGGCCGCCGGCGCCTAGCAGGCACCCTCGTCCGAATCCGACTCCAGCATGTACGCCTGGCGCGAGCAGCGCGCCGCGGCGCGGGCGGAGGGCGCGTGGCCCCGCCTCCACGACCGCGTCCCTCTCCAGATCGTCACGGTCGAGATACGCCATGAAAGCGCAGGACCGCCACTCCCCGGCCGCGAGAATCTCGGCCAGCGTCGCGCCAGCCTCCTGCAGGTCCTTGGCGTGGCCCCTGCGGAGGTCATGCAACCGAAACAGGCTCGCCCCCTGGACACCGAGGGCAGCGAGCATCTCGCGCAGGGTCCGCAGCGCAGCAGCCGCCGAGATGCCTCCGAAGAGCCCGCGGCCCAGCCCGCAACGCGCCACCCAGGGGCCCAGGGTGTGCACGGGGCACGTGGCGCGGCACGATGAGCACCAGCACTTCCGCGACAGGCGACTGCCCTGCGGCCGGTTCTTCCGCCGCCGCAGCAGCAGCGTGAGCTCCGATTTGCCCAGCACTAGCGCCGCTTGAAAGGGCGGCGCGTCGCCAGCGTCGGCCACGCGCACGGCCGGCAACGCCTCGCTGGGAACACGCAACAAGAACGTGTAGGCGACAAGGAAAAGCATCGACGCGCGGAGCCACTCGGGGCCGCGCGCGCCCAACTCGACCAGCGCGGCGACCGCGCTCTTACGGATGAACCAGCGCGGGCGCGGAGTCCAATCGGCCCGCGCCCGGACGGCGGCGCGCGCACGCCTGACCTCGGGGCGGTCGAACACGGCGACGCAGACCCCAGTCAGGAGGCAGCCGATCTTAACGTAGCTGCAGTAATTTGCGTACGTCTCCCCGCAGCGAAAGAGGGCGCCCCAGGCGACCAGGTCCGCGCAGGCTGGCGGGAGCTGCATGCACGGGTATTTCAACATTCTGAAGCAGTAGGCCTCCCAGCATTTGAGGCCGCTTCTCACGCTTTGGAGCGACCGTGCGCATGGTTGCAGCATAGCGCGAACGCGTTCCTCCTCCCGCCAGCGGGCCGCGTCCGCCGGACTGCGGAGGCGAGCAGCGGCCTCGGCGAGCGCCGCCCGGGGCCCGCGCGTTATTGGCCGCGCGACCGGCGCGCCCAGCTGATCGAGGACGCTCGGGGCGGGCGCCTCGCGAGCCACGGCGCGCGGGCATGCGCAAGCGCGCGGGGCCGATGACGCGCGCCTGTGGCGGCCCAGGGGGTGACCCCGGGGCGCTCGGCGCCGCGCGTCTCGCCGGCGACCGGCTGCGGGCGGGCGCGCGCCCGCCAACTGCCGAGCCCACGGCGACGGGCGCGCCTGCGAGGCGCACGCGCGGCGGGGGGGGGGCCGCGCGCGCCAAAAACCCTCGCGCAGTCGAGCCTCGGCGCGCAGCAATCTTCGCGGCTCTGAATAATTCGTGCAGGACTTCGACATTGGCCTGCGCGGTGAAACCGCTCAGCAGACACTGCAAGTTGATTTTCCGATGGCTCGCAGGCGCGGCGAACCGTACTCTGCTGAAATCACAAGCCAGCACGGCGGTCCTGGCGCCGTCGGGCGCAAGGACACAATTCAAGGAAAACGACATGAAGCCGCCGGCAACTCCCTGACAATGCACGAACGCGCCTAGCAACTGGCCGCAGCGCCAGGGAAACCGACAAAACCGGGAACCCTAGGAACAACGCCGGCGGCGCGCGCCGCGCGCCGAACCTTTGCGCGGGCTAGCACGGAGTATCGCACGCCCGACCACAAGGATTGGGCATGCGCGACATGTGGCGCCGGTTTAGCCGAAGAGCGGGCCACAAGAGAGAACGCCCAGGCAATCCGCGTGGCGGGGAGCTCGCACCACGGGCGCGTGCGCACCGCGCCGATGCGTAGCAGGAGTTCGTCGCCCCCACTGCGACACGCTGCGCCAGCGGCCAGCCCGCAGCACCGCGCGGCGCGCACGGGCGCGCCGAGAAGGCAAATCGGCCAGATTCTCAGCCGTGGGCACGCGGAAAACCGCGAGGTCAACGTCGAGCTCCACCGCGCGCCTCCACATGGAGTGGACGATGCACGAGTGGTCGAAGGATTTCGCGGCGCCCTTCCGCAGGCAAGACTCCGCGCCGGCATTGTCGCTGTAAATATGCAAGTCGCAACCTTGCACTTCCCCTGGGCGCAGCGAAGACGAGGGGCCGGACCTGCCCGCCGGCGCGGGCAGTCGCACGCGAAAGCAATGCCTGTAAAGGTGCACATGCCCAGCGCGATAGACAGGAGCTCCAGCCCCTGAATCTGGTTGTCCCGGCGACGCTGGAACGACGCCATCAAGGAATCCGGGACGACCATGGAAGTGAAACGGATGCCCGTGGCGGTGACGAGCACCGCGGCCACGCGCGGTGGTTGGCCCGACGCGTCCGCGAAGAGAGTTGCGCGAGGCCGCGCCTTGTCGGCCCACGGCCGCGCTTGGCACAAGTCCATGGCCAAGACCTCGCGCCACCACTGCAGGGCAAGCATCAACGGCTCATGGGCGTTCGATGCCCCGCGATGCGAGTGCGCGTGCAACGGCCTGCGAGCACGAAGCGCGGCGCCCCGCCCCCCCGGGCGCGCGGGGGCAGCGCCGCGCCTGAGGAGGGCGCGCCCCAGGCGGCGGAAGAGATGCGACGCTGCCCAGGCCAAGCCCCCGGCCAGCTTGGACGACGCGCCTGCACAGCGAACGCAAGGTCCCGACACATTAGGGGGGGCGCGCGAGCCGCCTGGCGCGAGGGCGCGCGTCGCGAGCGCCTCGCCGATGACACGCAGCCACTTGGCGGTCTTCGCGGGTGCGGGGCGCGCGCAGAACGCGCGCGGCAGCACCTGGCGATGCGCGCAGCCGGCCGGCCGGCGCGTCGCGCCAAGGCCGCCCCGCCTTGATTTCGAGGCCGAGGATGACCAGCGGGGGCCCCCAGGCGATCTTGTCCGGCGCCACCGCGCCTGGGCCGAGCATCAGCTGAATTAGCTCCGCCAGCTGCGCTGCTGCGTGCTCCGCCACTTCGGGGTGATCCGGCCCAAAATAATCGCCCACGTATCGCAGCGCGGCGATCCGCAAGAGCACGCGCGCCGCCTCCGCGATGAAGGCACCCACTCGCGCCCAGCTGTGCACCGACGACGTGGCCCCGAAGGGCGCTGCCGCGTGCTGCGCCGCCCAGGCCTGCCCGGCGGCGCTGAACACGATCCAAGCGAACCGGCGGTGCTCAGCGCGAATGGGCACGCGACGAATGGCAGCGTCGATGTCTGCCTTCCAGAGGGCGGGTGCCCGCCCCGCAACTTCCTGGAAGATGCGAGCTGCTTCGAAAAGCGCGTCCACGGCATCGTGTTGGAGCCGCTCCTGAGGCCGCGTCGCCTCGTTAATCCTAGCCTTGGTCATGTCGTCGACCAACCGGAGTTTCGAGGACCCGTCTTCACGGAGCTGCTCGACCGCAAACCTCGGAGCGATGACGGCCCCGTCCAGGCACGCGTCGCGGAGCGGCACCGGGCAACTGATGCGCCCCAGCTCGGCCTCGTCCCGTGTCTTGCGGAGGATGGCGTCGCCGTGCGCGCCGTCGCGGAGGCCACAGGAAATGTCGCGATTTGTCGACTCGGCGTTGCCGAGCAGCTCCGCGATGCCCAGGCGGGGAGGGAACACCTCTGGGCCGCCGTGGCCCGACCGCGGGAGCTCGCCGACGAGGGGCGCCCCCGCCCTGAAGAATTCC